AAAGTGAGATTACCCAATTCTGCAAATGTTTGTTTATTCCCTTGCTTCAGTTTTGTCCCAAGTTTAGTTTCCTGACGGGGCTTAATCCTCCCCTTTTGTGGCTCTGGACCATCCATCCCTCCTGTCTCCCCCAGTGCTGGCTAAGAGGGGTTGCTAAGCGACATGTTCTTCTCTTCTGTACTGTAGCAGAGAGGAACAGATCAAAGACACCCACAGTCCTGAATTATTTTATAAATGAATTTAAAGAGACACTCTCCTGTGCAGCATTATGTGGGGGGAGAACAAAAGTTACTGGCTACACTGAGAGCATAGGGAGAATTAAACTGATGTCTTCTGGAAAATGAGAATGCTCTCATAAATGACAGCTCTGTAGTATTTACCTTTTTTTTTTTTTTTGCTTTTTCAGAGCTAGACTAGGAATTTTTTATGTTAATTAATATTTCTAGTTTCCTAGTTTCATGGCAGTCAAGACATTGAACACAGGCCAGGCTGAACGTGTGTACAACTTTCAGAAGTCAGAGTTTCTGTTGAGTGACAAGCTTGCAGGGTTTTAAATCTTTTCATCTCTTGCAAAAGAGTTACCATTATGGAAAAATACTTAATTCTTTAATTTTTAAAATATTTTCCTGATTGATGCCAGGCAAGAAAGCCACGGGGTGAAGTTCAAGTGATATGTATCTTTGAAAGAATAAATGAAGATGAGGAAGTAATCTGTGTAGATCAGGCAGAAAACACACGACACCAACATCTCAGACCTTGCTGCAAGAACGAAAACCAAATGAATAACCTGTAATGACAAAACCTGGGAATACACAAGTTTAAACGTTACCTCTTAGGAGACAAGCACTTTCCTGGCACGAGTTCAGCTCTGCTGCTCTGTGCAGGCTGGGAGGTTTGTAGGAGCATGCTGGCAGCCAAGGCAGGCGCTCGCTGGAACAGAAAAGGGCGGAATTATCTGCCCTCGGATCTACTCGGTTTCGAATACCGTCAGTGTCGTAAAAGGAGAAAAACAGCGCTTGGTAACAAAGTGCAAGAATTTTTCAGGACTTTCATTTCCAAAGATGCCACGGCTGGCACAGCCTTCAGAAAAAGGAGAGACACACAAAAACCACGCTTGAAGCACTACCTAGGCAAGCAGGACAGAGCGTTTATGTACAAAGCAAAACTCACGGGTGAGATGGCTGCAAAAAAATCGGATGCAAAACTCTTCCCACGTGCAAATCTCATTGTTCTGTACCAGCCACCCGAGAAGCACAAACAAATCACAGAATCACAGAATACGCCGGGTTGGAAGGGACCCACAAGGATCATCCAGTCCAACCCCTGGCCCTGCACAGGCACCCCAACAATCCCACCCTGTCCCTCAGAGCGTCGTCCAAACCCTCCTGCAGCTCTGGCAGCCTTGGGGCTGTGCCCACTGCCCTGGGGAGCCTGTTCAGTGCCAACCACCCTCTGGGGGAAGAACCTTGCCCTGAGATCCACCCTGAGCCTGCCCTGACACAGCTCCAGCCATTCCCTCATGAAGAGGGGAAGAGGAGGGGCAGGCACTGATCTGTGGGGACCAGTGACAGGATCCAAGGGAATGGAAGGTGGGGGGTGTATGGAGAGGATCTCACCCTCTTCCCCATCTGTCTGGTCACAGAGGGGACTGATCTCCTCACTCTCGCCCAAGGCCAGTGACCTCACATCAAATTGAGGGTAGATTAGTGAAACCTAATACTCTCTAGGACTATAAAGAGATTACTCGCACATAAATCTTCACCAAAAAAAAAAAAAATCTGCGTTAGTATTTATTTACATGCATCTTATTTTTCAATGAGAAAACAAGCCTCCC